GTAAATTTTTATGTGCACTCTACATGTACTAAATACGGAGTAAATTATTATTGGAAAATTTAGTTAAAATAAACATTTAAACAAGAGTAAAGAAAAATTATCGAGAAATTCAAATAGTTAAAATGTAAATCATTTTTGGGACAGTGATATTACATACAAAGTATATCTATAATAAAGATATTGATACTAAAAGTGAAAGTATTTCATTAAAAGCTGTGAAAAATTAAATTCAAAGTTGTAACACTGTTAGCTACTCTATATTGTATTAGCAAAGGGTTGTGATAAGTCATACCGGAGTATCTTAGTAAAACTCTTTATTGTATTAGGGCTGTGATAATTTGTTTATATATAGACCTGGCAAAACGGTCGGTCAGGTCGGGTTCGGGTTCAGTCATATCGGGTTCGGGTTACTTCGGGTTCGGGTCTAAGAATGCTTGTTCATGACCCAGACCTATCGGGTTCGGATTGACCCAACAGATTAAGAAGCGTATTTAAAAATTGTAAATTTTCCATTTAGAGATGAAGTGATCAATGCATTGTTCAAAATAGAAAAAAATCATTCAACAACAACAACAACAACCCAGTTAAATCCCACAAGAGTAGAGTCTGGGGAGGGTGTGTGTACGCAGACCTTGCCCCTACTCGAAAGTAGAGAGGCTTTTCCAAAGAGACCCCCAGCTCAACGTCGAAAGTTGCATTGCTTGACTAACTGCTACTTCATTAATTAAAGAAGCGCAAATAGTTTAGATATCCATTTTGATTTATTCCATCACACCCCAAAGCCAAAAACAGGTGAAATTTTGGCTCCATCGGAGATGATGGAAAAACAACAAAAAAAGTAAACATAGCAAAAAGTTCTAAACATCATCATGTCCCAAATAAACCATCCAAGCACACTAATCAAAATACCAAATAATTTAGAGTTCAAACAAAATGATTAGAAGTTCATTCTCAAGTGAAGTCATTCCCCATATCAATTTGATGTTTATCACGAGTAGAACGCCTGAAATCCAACTCAATGCCTTCTTCAAGTTTGTCACGTTCATCTACATATTAATACAATAACACATATATGAAGAGTTAATTTGTAAGTGAAAAATAAATTTAGGCTTATATATTAAATTACCTTCATCAACATTATAACCAAATATCCAACTACGAGTGGTAATCAAAGCTTCTGCATTCTCTGGCTTAAGTGATGCTCTCCACTTTGTTAAAATTCTACCACCTAAACTGAAAGCAGATTCAGATGCAACTGTGGTGATTGGTATGCTTAATATATCTTTTGCCATTTTTGCAACATCAGGAAATCTTTTAGCATTGTCCTTCCACCATTCAAGAACATCTAAATTTTCATTAGGATCCACCTTGAGTTTTCCAAATATACATCCAATTGGGATTTAAACCTAGAAGTTGTCACTCCATCAAATGCTAAAAAAGCCTACATACAAATTTCAAAAGAGAAATGAATAGCAAAAACTGAAACATTATATATATTAAACATTATAAATAAATGTAAAATGAAATTATAAACATACCTCTAGGTCTGCTGATGTATTCCTGACATTTGAATTCACATCGGTAGTAGGATCAACTGTTGAATACTCACCAAATAATTTAAAAAGTTTGTCCTTCACATTTTCCACCTTGTCTTCTGCAGTTGTAGGATCTAGGGTTGTAAAACAAAATCTCACAAATTGAAGTTTATATCGAGGATCCAAAATTGCTGCAAATGAAAGTATCATGCTATAAGATTCCCAATACTTGTCGAACTTCACTTTCATCCTCTTTGCCATCTCTCTTATGCACATATCTGTCTCTATTATATCATCAGAATGTCTCTTTAAGAAACATTGGATTCTCCACACATTTAATAAATACATATTTGCTGTAGGATAGTGTCGCCCAAAAAATTGTGTAGTAATTTCATGAAATGGCTTCAAAAGTTCATGGATCCTTTCAATTCTTACCCATTCTTCATTGCTTGGAACTGGTGGGGCATCACGATCCATCCTTTTCACACCAGAAAAACATAACGATATGGGAGTGCTCTATCAAGCATCTTAAAAATTGAATTCCACCTAGTAGGACAATCTAACCACAAACTTCTTGAAGTATCCATGCCAAGACTATTAGCACAATCCTCAAATTTCAACTCTCGACCCTCAGAAGCAGTGACATATTTTATACAGTCTCTAAGTGTACGCATGGAAGTATCAATCACAGTAAGACCCTCTTTAACAATCAAATTCATTATATGAGCAGAACAACGGACATGAAAATAGTCACCATTAGCAGGCAAACGAGAATAAATAGAGAGACTATCTGATAAAAGACCCTGCATGTTGTCATTGTACTTCGCATTATCTAGCGTCATGGAAAAGACTTTCTTATGAATTCCCCAAGTCTTAAGAAGACTTAAAATCTTTTCATGAATGGCATCAGCATTGTATGGAGGTGGCACATGACAAAAGCTATGAATCTTGTTTTGCAAATTCCAATTTTCATCAATAAAGTGAGCAGTCAAGCTAAGATAACCTTGTCCAACTATTGATGACCACATATCTGAAGTGAAGCATATTTTACCATCAAGTTCACTCAAGACTTTTTTAAGCTTCAATCTTTCTCTTTCATGAATCTTCAGACAATAATTCTTAGCTGTATTTCTACAGATAGGTTTGCACTCTTCATTCAAATACACATGTATAGCCCTATTCCCTTGATGTTCTGCAAAACTAAAGCTATAACCATGTCTTATAATACTTAGTGCAACCAACTCTCTGTATGTGCCTTGGTCTAATTTTTTAGCCAAGTTAGCATTTTTGTTTAATAGTAATTGACCAACATCATTAGCAACACGGGCATGACAATTTTCAGTATGGCGTTTAAAATTAGTTGTACCATTCTTAGAATTCGCAAAAGTTGGTCCTCCCTTACAGTACTTGCAAAGAGCTCTATCTTGACCATCTGGAAATTGATCTCCATCAAACACATCATACTCGTCCCAAATCGGTGAAGCCCATTTTCTTTTCCGACTTTGAGATGACTCTTCATTTCTAGTGGTAGTTCCTGTATGATAAAATAAAAAACGAAACTCCTAAAATTTATAATGTAGTTAACACAAAATAAAAGAGTGCTATATTTTAGTCAATATCTATAAACTTTAAATTTTGGGGATCAAATCTTTGATAGTATTGTTGATGTGAACACCCAAGAATATATAGTATATATATACTGCTTGCTTTGGGGGGGGGGGATTTCCAAATCTGCAAATAGGCAATTTTATAGCAAATAGGACCAGGTTTATAGCAAATAGACAAGTTTATAACAAAAATTTCCAAATCAGCAAAGTGTTGAAAGCTTCTGTGAGTAAATATTCTAGTCAGGATTGTGGAAATCAGGTTTTGAGTATTTCTCAAAATAACCCTTTCATATGCCAGCTTTAAAAATAACCATGCGGCTAAAATTTAACTTCTGTGATGGAGAGGTTTCTAATTGTTGAAATTGTTGCAGTTTATTATCAGAATATGCATACTCAAATAAAGGAGGTAAAAGCAAATAGGAACAAGCTGGCAGAGTGTGGCAGTTTACTAAATTCATATCAGGTTTATTCTGATTCCAAAATCGAAACATAATACGGAGTACTTCGTAAATAGCAAAAAATACAGATTAAAACATACTTCCTAAATAGAAAACAATGATTTTATATTTTAAAGGAGAGTTAACATGAGTTACCTATAGACCCAACTGAAGATGCTGAATTAGGGTTAGGAATTCCACTACTCTGCTTGTTTCTTCTCACCATTGAGCCGAGGCCACCGGAGGTCGGAGGATGATTGACGGAAGAGAGAAGACTGCAACGATTGGCGGAGCAATTGCGAGAGGCAGAGAGGGAGGGTCCGCCGATGGAGAGGGAACAATTAGGTTGAAGAGCCGATTAGTATTCCAGGCTGTATGTGGATTGTGAGATTGTGCCTTGTGGTATAACCGTATAACCGAGAAGGAGAATCGGCAGATGCAACTATTTCAATAAATAAAAATATAAAATCTTAATTCTTAAGTTTGGAGTGCTTAACCCGCTGGGTCAGACCCGACCCGACCCGAAATTTTAACGGGTCCTCCGGGTTCGGGTTATTTCGGGTTCGGGTCACAAAATTCATGTTCAAAACCCGCTAATTTGGGGTCGGGTTTCGGGTAAAAAACGGGTCTGGTCATATTTTGCCAGGTCTGTTTATATATATAGGGCCTGTTTGGGAATAGCGTTAGCCATTAGCGTTAGCGTTTTGAAAAAGCTATCTACGGGCAGCGTTTAGTGTTAGCGTTTTCAAATTAATCTGCACCGTTAGAATTTTATCCAAAATGTTAACGCTAATTTATAACGCTATTTCCAAACAAGTCTATAGTATGTGTTTCAGATGATAATTTAGTAAAATTATACTTCCTCCATCTTAAATTGGATTATAATTTTTTCTCCCATCTCGATAACTTTTGTTTATTTATGTATTTTCATTGCGTATTTAATAAAATAAAATATTTTTGTTATCTTTTGTTTTGTAGAACACTTGACGTAATTTTTTAATATGAAATTTTTATTTATTATTGATTAACCACTTTGTAAATAAAATAATTTCAAAAGACTAAATATTGTGTTTCATAACTTTTACTCTAATCAAATTAAGACGGAAACTTTAATGTAGTTTTAAAATTTCATATTGAAACTTACTCCTATTTTTTAAGGACAATTCTTATTGATTGTAAATGAAATAATTTTTAAAAATAAGAATTTTTGTTGGCAACTCTCAATTTGTAATTAAATTATGAGAGAGTTCTTATACTATAAACTTTAGTGTAGTTTTTAATACGGAGTATTTCACATCCAAAGTTAATTTTTTTTTTATTGAAAATCAATTTTTAAGTAAAATAAATCAATAAGTTTTGGGCCAGAGAGTCCATTTATGACGTTTAACAAATTTGGGTCAATAATAACAATAATGTCTTGAATCCAGTGTCTCAACTTTTGTGACATTGAGATCATCTTTTTTAGAGATCTGACTCACCGCCGAACTCGGGTTGGACCGCACTAGGGTTTACTCCCAACTCCCAAACTAAAACCCTAGTTTAACCCCGGTTAAAAAAAAGCAGAAGAAAAAAATAAATAAAAATAAAAAATCTACAGTTCAACTTCACGTGTATTCTGCAGTTTACAGGTATATATCTTACTATCATTCATTCATTTTTACCGTTTTTCTTCTGTGTCATCATCTTCTACGACACCTGTAATTTTCTTTTTTCCTCCTCTGGAAATTATTTTATTTTTTACTTCTAACATATTTTGATAAACAAATTAAATTAAGTTAATGAGATTTTTGCCCCGATTAAAACAGGAAATTAAATCTGGGTTTTGTTTTTTCTGTCTAAATCTGGAGAGTTGGCCCCGGGGTTCTTCGACATTTACGGCGCGGCCCCCAATGAAACCTTTTTTTTTCTTATTTTCCGCCCTTTTATTTTTTACCTCTCCGCATGCATAAAAGAAAAGCCGGTAAAAAAGTAATTATAATCATAGTAATAATAGTGGGCGAAAGAAAGCAGGGAATCGCAGCTGCTCTTTATTTTTCTTCCCCTCTACAGTACTTGTGATTGCCGGCCGGAATCCGGGAATTCCGGCAGTCTCCGGCGGAGGAATCGGTAGATGTTGCGGTCAGTTGGCTCTGTTCCGGCGTTCTTTTCCGGGGTTTGGGTGTCTTTTTGTTGCAGAGAATAATCGAATTTGCGGCGGCGGCGGCGCGCGCATTCTCCGCTGATGGCCGCCGGGGAATAGTTTCTCCATTTGGTATATCGAACCCCCTTTTCTTTCTCCTGCAAAAGTGTGGATCAGCTTTAATTTCTTCTTTCTTTTCTTTTATTGTTTTAAAAATACAAAAAAATGTTTTTTTAATTAATAAAAAGAAAATAAAATTAATGGGTTCTGCTTATCACCGCCATTACTGCTTATGGGAAGAATCTTTTTGTTGCCTGTTTGTACTATAAACACAAACACTCTCTTATGTATCTCTGATGTTAGATTCTTGCAGAGAGAGGGCAGAGTATGTCAATATTGTTTTTTTAAAAAATATTTTTTTTAACATTTTAAATTAAAATCAGCAAGAATGTAGCAGGGGAAAAGAACAAGAGTAACAAGACTGACATTTAGAAGAATACAGAATTTTTTTCTGTTCTAGGAAACTAAATAGGGAGTTAAAAATGGGATCTTTATAATGATGGAGTAATTGTTTTCTTTAAAGGGTAAAAAGAATGCAGGGATTGTTCTGCATCAAGAAAAGCAGAAAACATATTTCCAGGACTGAGATTGTTTTCTGAGACAGACATAATAATAGAATGGAATTGGAAGATTTTGGTTTCTATTTATGCTAAAAGGGGATTTGAATTAATAAATGGATAAATAATTGAATGAATTTTGAATGTAATGATATAATTGGTGATTCTTGGCAGGCTTTCTATTGAGTTTCAACAGCTATGAAGAGGAGAGCCATACATCATAATCAACATCCTTTCAATGTCTATCGTAAGCCGTTTTCTTTGTGTTTTGAAGAAAAAAAAATTGTTTCCTTCACTTAGAGGGAGTGTTCGCAAGTGCTTTTTAAAATGATTCTTGACTTCTGCTTTGAATGGAATCAATTTGATATGTTTGAGAATGTATGAACTAGTCAGAGATATTTTTAGATTCTATGGTTAAAAACTGAAAATGATCATTTTTTTTTACAAAAAATTCAAGCGAATCCCAAACATCCTCTTAATTGTGTAATTTAGCAACATCATTTACCATATATGCCTATGGTTTGCTGCAGCTTTTGAGGTATTCCGGAATGAAAGTTGGCAACCGGTAGAGCGCATAAGAATTCAGAATGGGGCGTTTGCTTTGCACGTTTTAGACGAAGGGGAATTGATCGAGGAGGATATTCCTATAACAAACATTAGAATAAGCTCAAGAAAAGCCACTACTTTGGACTGTGCTTGTTTTCTAAGGCCCGGACTTGATGTTTGTGTCTTTTCTACCCCTCACCAAACAGAAGATTCGGATTCCGATGAAGATTCAGATGATAAATTTGAACCCGAACCCGTAAGTACCCGAGAACTCATTTTGTTTCTTCTATTACATTCTTATACTTTTTTTTTGTAGCCAGAGTGTAAAAATGTAATACATATATTTGTAGGTATGGATTGATGCGAAAATAAGATCCATAGAAAGGAAGCCTCACGACTTTGGGTGTGCCTGCGTTTTCCATATAAGTGTGTATATCACCCAAGGCCCGCCTCCCATTTTGAAGAAGACGTTAAGCAAGGAGGTCAAAACGGTCACACTTCAACACATTTCCATTCTACAGAAACTTGAGTTGAAACCGTGTGAAGAGACACATTACCGTTGGAACTTCAGCGAAGACTGCAATGCCCTCCAGACATTTAAGTTGTTCACCGGAAGGTTTTGCAGCGATCTCACCTGGCTCCTCGTCGCGTCCGTTCACAAAGGCACGGGATTTGACGTTAGGTCTGTCCACAACCGCATCGTCTATGAAATATTGAAGGACGAAGACGACATTGACGCGGTGGATTCGGGGCACGGCTCGTACGCCATGAACTTCAAGGTGGAAAATGACGTTTCTACCCTTGTCGTCGTGGAGTTCGATGTGAACGCCACCACCGAGAGAGGAGGAGGAGGACAACAACCGCAACAAGACGGGGCGGGACCACTCGTCTTGTACGACGAGTTGCGCCGTTCCAAGCGTAGGTTCGTGCAGCCCGAACGGTACTTGGGGTGGGAAGAGTGTATGACGGAGTTCGAGGTTGAAGTTACGCGGCTAGGGGGAGGAATGAAGTATAAGACAGAGGAAGTGGGAGAGTTACCCATGGCCCTCTCCATTCAAGCCGACCACGCAATGAAGTCCGGCGATATCGACCCGTCCCTTGTGCGTCACCGAAGCGAAAACGCGACGAAGTCCGCAACCAAGCGGGCCTGCGGCGACAAACAACAACTTGCCATCGTCCCTCGTCAAACGTCCGGAGAGAACCGTCCGGCGCCTCGCAAAGACGGTGCGGTTAACTTTGAAGTCGACGACGATCTATCTGCGGAGATCAAAGAGATAGTTTCCAAATACATTTACGTGAACGGTTCCTCGGACCTGCACATGAACAAAGCCGCATTCCGGATGATGAAGGGGAAGCGTTGGGCGGGTCAAACCAAGGTTTCCAAGCTGAAGTTTTTGGGGTTGGATATTAGGAAGGGCGGGACCGGCACGAGCAAGAAAGGGTATAAAAGACGAGATTGCCCTCCGTCCGAGAGGGACAGCATATACGACATCAGGTCGTTTCGGAAAGGGTCGATAAGCGCCAATGTGTACCGGGAACTGATCCGGAGGTGTATGGCGAACATTGACGCGACTCTCAACAAGGAGCAGCCCCCTATCATGGACCAATGGAAAGATTTCCAGTCAAACAAGTCGTGCCAGAGAGAGCGTTTTGAAAACGAATCGACGAATCCCGAGGAAGAGCTGTCCGAGCTCGACATGCTGTGGAAGGAAATGGAACTCGCTTTGGCTTCGTGTTACCTTCTCGACGACCACGAGGTAAAATGACTATTCTACCCTCCTGCATGTCTGCTCCGCTTTTGTTCCTTTCTCTTAACGTTTTTGTGTTACAGGGAACGAACTTGCAGACTGTAACTGAACAACACATGGCAAATAAGAATGGAAGTAAAGTCTGTCAACACGATTTTCGGCTCAATGAGGAGATTGGAATTATATGTAGACTATGTGGGGTTGTGAGCTCCGAAATAAAAGACGTTCCCCTGCCCTTTGTAAGTCGAATCGTGTCACAAAACCTTTATTCTGCTTTGAAATAATTTGTCCCCAATCCTAAACCAGACTAAAAAACAGAGTAATATAATATGTACCAATTGGTTTTGCTTTGTTTTTGTACAGATGCCATCAGCAAGCTCGAATGCAGGTAAGGATCAGAGACCGGAGGAAGTGGCCGAGGGAGACGATGCTGCTGACGTGGACCACTTCCTCATCCCGCCCTCGTCTTCCAACAAACCCGCCGCGTCCGAGGGAGAGGCGGGAGAGAACGTGTGGGCCCTGATACCGGACCTCCGGCACAAGCTGCGGGCCCACCAGAGGCGGGCCTTTGAGTTCCTGTGGCGGAACATCGCGGGGTCCACGATCCCGACGGAGATAGACCCCGAGAGCAAGAGGAGGGGCGGTTGCGTCATTTCCCACACCCCCGGCGCCGGGAAAACCCTCCTGATCATCGCCTTCCTGGTCAGCTACCTGAAGCTGTTCCCCGGGTCCCGCCCCCTCGTGCTCGCCCCCAAAACCACCCTCTACACATGGTACAAGGAGATCATCAAGTGGAAGATTCCAATCCCAGTCTACCAGATCCACGGCGGCCAAACCTACAAAGGAGAAGTCTTGAGGCAGAAGATGAAGCTCTGCCCAGGCCTCCCAAGAAACCAGGACGTCATGCACGTGTTGGACTGCCTGGAGAAGATGCAGAAGTGGCTGGCCCACCCCAGCGTCCTCTTGATGGGCTACACCTCGTTCCTGACCCTGACCCGTGAAGACTCCACCTACGCCCACAGGAAATACATGAACCAGGTTTTGAGACAGTGTCCCGGGATCGTGATCCTAGACGAGGGACACAACCCTAGGAGCACAAAGTCAAGGCTGCGCAAGGCGCTGATGAAAGTCAACACGAGTCTCCGTATCCTGTTGTCCGGGACGTTGTTCCAGAACAACTTCGGGGAGTACTTCAACACCCTCTGCCTGGCGAGGCCGAAGTTCGTTGACGAGGTCTTGAAGGAGCTTGACCCCAAGTACAAGAAGCAAGCCAAGTCGCGGTTTTCGTTGGAGAATCGCGCTAGAAAGATGTTCATCGACAAGATTTCGAAGAGGATCGATTCGAACAAAGAGAAGGAGAGGAAGGAGGGGTTGAACATATTGAAGAAGCTAACCGGGGGGTTCATCGACGCTTACGAGGGCGGGAGCTCGGACAACCTCCCCGGCCTCCAATGCTACACGTTGATGATGAAGTCGACGACCCTCCAACAAGAGATTCTAGTGAAGTTGCAAGAACAAAGGCCGATATACAAAGGGTTTCCTTTGGAGTTGGAGCTCTTGATCACCCTCGGGGCTATCCACCCGTGGTTGATCAAGACCACGGCGTGTTCGAGCCAATACTTCAAGCAAGAGGAGTTGGAGGCGCTCGAGAGGTTCAAGTTCGACCTGAAGCTCGGGTCGAAGGTCAAATTCGTCATGAGCCTAATCCCGCGTTGCCTCCTACGGAGGGAGAAGGTCTTGATCTTTTGCCACAACATCGCCCCGATCACCCTCTTCTTGGAGATATTCCAACGGTTCTACGGGTGGCGCAAGGGCGCGGAGGTCCTCGTCCTCCAAGGCGACATCGAGCTCTTCGAGAGGGGTAGGATCATGGACAAGTTCGAGGAGCCCGGCGGGGCGTCGAAGGTGATGTTGGCGTCCATCACCACGTGCGCCGAGGGGATAAGTTTGACCGCCGCGTCTCGGGTCATCCTGCTGGATTCCGAGTGGAACCCTTCGAAGAGCAAGCAGGCGATTGCCCGGGCCTTTCGGCCCGGGCAAGACAAGGTGGTCTACGTGTACCAGCTTCTGGCCACGGGGACCCTCGAGGAGGAGAAGTACAAGCGGACGACGTGGAAGGAGTGGGTGTCGAGCATGATCTTCAGCGAGGACCTCGTGGAGGACCCGTCCCACTGGCAGGCCCCGAAGATCGAGGACGAGCTGCTCGGGGAGATCGTGGAGGAGGACCGCGCCACGCTCTTCCACATGATCATGAAGAACGAGAAGGCTTCCAACATGGGAAGACTTGTTCAAGAGTGACGTGACATTTGGATTTCTCGTGGCGACAGAACTCCCAAGTTTATGGATGGACCCTTAAATCATGGTATGCTCATTATTATTGTTGCTTAATCAGTTTCATAAACTCTGTTTTAATAAGACCTTTTCATGCACTGGTATCGTTTACCTCATGGAACTGTGTTAATGTCTGTGAGGTTTTCTTTGGGGAGGATGTGTTTTTTTTCTTTTGATGTAATGAGAATGTTGTTATTTGTACTATGTAAGCAACTCCTAATGGTGTGTATTTGTAACATAAATTTCATTAATAATTGTCGTTGAGGATTTTATTCTTTGACTATTTGAGCACGGAGCACGTTTATGGATTGGTACAAATTTGCTACTAGGTCCCTTGGACTAAACAGCAAAGAAACATATTTTAGTCCTATTTACCTAAATAGGACTAAAACATATTTTAGTCCTATTTACCTAAATAGGACTAAAACATAATGACTTTTCCAAAATAGGACCATATGTTTTTATTTTCGAATGTAGGACTTTTAGTCATTATCAAGTAGTCATTATTCAAGTAATGTCTAACATTGCTTGACATTATTCCTTCCACGAAAACATTATTAAGTTCTATTTAGGGGGAATAAAAAAGTTTAAGTCCTAGATTAGGAAAGTCATTATGTTTTAGTCCTATTTAGTGCAAATTTCACAAGAAACAAATACCTTGGCTTCATTAAAATGATGTGGCAAAAAGGCCACACATCCGCTTATTATTGGGACAACTAGAGAGTGTTTTGAAACACTCCATTCTAAAGGTGCACGGAAGGAATCGCCCGTTTTATCTGGTATTTTTGCATTTGTGTGGTTAAGAATGTGTGTTTTCGCCTTATAAAGCTCTTTATGATAGGATTATTCGAACCCTTTGTGTTGGCTTCGTGAGAGAGTAACTCAGAGAGTTTAAGTACGAAGTATGAAGATGTGATGATTTTTTGAAGTTGTGCTGATGACCAGATATACGAGAGGCTTTATAGACACGGTGAAGGATGACAAGTTGCCGTTCATAGCTCTCTCCAATTATCGTGTCTAATCGCGCGAATTGGTGTGATGCTCTCCATCGAATTTGTTAAGTACAAAAATTCGAAAAATAAAAATTCAAGTCAATTTTTAACACAACATTTTGTTTAAAAAAAAAATTTGACTCCAGCCAAGGGTTCTTCCCCTTGGACCCTGTAGTCGCCTCTTGAACCTTGCTCTCGGAGGTTGCCTCTTGGAACCCCAGTTACATAATTAGGGGCCAAAGGAGATTTTTTATTAAAAAAATAAACTCAAGGAAGCGTATATTCCTTCAAAATTTGAGTATTTTTGCGAGAAAAAAATGAAGTTTAAGTACAAAAATCATTTAATATTCAAAGTTAAAAAATTAACATTGAAATTTATTTTTAAATAAAAGGAAAAGAGGGACAAATAAAAGACTCCATCCAAAGACTCTTTTGCAAGTTGAGCATCCACTTGGAGTAGGCTGCCGCCGCGCCGTACGCCTAATCTATTCCCTAATTACCAATCAGTGGCTTCTTTTTCAAAGAAAACGTACCTAATTTTCCGCTGCTTAACCTTAAGCCTCTTCCGCTTTTTTTTATGCACAATCGGTCCACACAAATTACTTGTGGATTAAATAAAAAGATAGGTTATACCCTCTCCGTTCTTAAGTATTTGTCTACTTTTATGTTTTTCGATCAAAATCGATAAATTTTTACTCCAGATTAAATAAAAATGATATTCGATATTGATACAAAAAGAGTTTTATTAGATTTATTATATCAAATATTTTCAAAATATTATTTTATTTAATTAAAATACAATATTTATTTTATTTAATTATAGGTCAAAGGTTGAAAACACTTGACCGAAAAGAATTAAAACTAGACAAATATTTAGGGACGGAGGCAGTATATGAGACCCAGTAGGACACCATATTTAATTATTTATGGACAAGTTGATTCCTACTTTCAAATCTTTATCTTTCTTTGAGGTGATCTTGGATTCATTCCATTTTTTATTACAACTCGTACATGTAATGAATTTGGAAAAATCTAAAAGGACTAGAGGTATCCTGGTTTATCCTATGTGCATACTAACTTTTCACATATAGATGCACACACTGTCTATGTAAGAGACAAACATTGCGTATCTGTGAAAAGGTGGTGTATACTCTGAATATATAAATTTGGGGTACCCATAACAAATTCTAATGATTTTTGTTTGGAAAATGCTAAGGATACACCAAAAGTGTACCCCAAATGTCTCCCATCTCCTCCATCACCACAAAAATTAGCATGTAATTTTTAAAAAAAAAAATAAACTAATTAAAATGAAATAAAAATGAATGGACAAAAGCCATGTGGTGTACATTTGGGGTACACCTTTAGTGTACCCATAAAGGTGTACCCATAGCATCTCCTTTTTTGTTTTTTTGCTTGGAAGCGTAAACTTAATATCGTGTACAATTAGCTATAATAGGAGCTTGTCATGCAAAATATTGAGATTATAGTCTAAGTTATTTTCAAAGAAATCACTCTAAAAAGAAGTAAAAATATAAAGAAAGTCAAAATAAAAATTTAATGTTTTTATCCCTGAAGTAGAAGTTTGCAATGTGCTAATGTGACACTGTATATTAAAATTTCACAATAATTTTTGATAATGTATAGTAAGGGTGAGCATGGTACGGTATTAATCTCATACCGATACCCTACCAAATATTTCAGTTCGATATAAACTTTACGTCGTACTGATCTCGATCCTGAAATTTTGGTTCGAGATGATTCTTTTCTCGTTTTTGGTAGGTAAATTACCCTTACAACGGCAAGACAACTAGACGAGAAGAGATAAACAAAGATTAAAGCATACTCTCTCCGCTCTTAAAAACATTTCATGTTTTGAGTTTTTTGTCAAATAGTGACATTCTTTGATTATAAATTATGATAAAAATATATATAATTATGATATAAAATTCAATAAAATTGAGTTGAGATTAGAATATAGTTTGATATATCAAATTTTTAAATTACTTATTTATTTAGATTATATTTAATTTGTGATCAAAGTGTCGGAGCTTAATTTGTGTATATAAATAGGGGGAAGAGTATATCCCAAGTAATTAAGAGAAAGTAATTAAGAGAAAAGCAAGATATGCCTTCTACCATTCTGCTTCCCCAATCAAATCCTCACGCCCATCCCGCCACCGCCGCCTCCACCGCCTCCACCGCGGCGGCGAGCATCCTCAAGCGGACGCAACCCAAGCTGAGTATTCCGGTACCGGCCTCGGAGGCGCCGGATCACGTGCTGCGACACCACGCCCACGAGGTAGGCCCCAGCCAGTGCTGCTCCGCGGTGGTGCGGCGCGTCTCCGCTCGGCCGGAGGCGGTGTGGTCCCTCCTCCGCCGCTTCGACAACCCGCAGGCGTACAAGAACTTCGTCAAGAGCTGCCACGTCATCGTCGGAGACGGAGACGTGGGTACCCTCCGGGAGGTGAGGGTGGTTTCCGGCCTCCCCGCCGCCAACAGCACCGAACGCCTCGAGATTCTGGACGAGGAGGAGCGTGTCATTAGCTTCGCCGTGGTCGGCGGAGACCACCGCCTCAGCAACTACCGGTCCGTCACGACCGTCCACGATGACCAGGAGGGGACGGTGGTTGTGGAGTCGTACGTGGTAGACGTGCCGCCGGGAAACACCGTGGAAGAGACTTGCGTTTTTGTGGACACGATCGTGAGGTGCAACCTTCAATCTTTAGCACAACTTGCAGAGAATTCCAAGGACAAGCAAAGTAATTAAAATTTGTTAATTGTTGCATATAAATTCATCCCTCCAAAAATTATCACATTCACTCTTCAATGTTATCTCAAGTTTGTACAATCTTTATATATATTTGCTCCGTTCCAAAAAAATGTTTCTGTTTCATTTTTTATGCATTATATAAAACACTTCTACCAACATCTAAAATGCCTAAAATTTATCACATTTTTCAATTATTGTGAGTAGAAATTATTCTAAAAGTTTCTTTTAGACATTTTTGGCGGGATAGAAATATTTTATGTGATGCGCCAAAAATGAAACAAATGTGTTTTTTTTGAAACATAAATGTGCTCTTGAACCTTTGGTCAAACGGGTGACCAGGCATGTGTTTAATCGTTTCTTTAATTTTTTAATTGCAGTTAGAATTTTTCGTCTTTCTTTTTTTTTTAAACAAACTGTTAAACTTTGATCATCCACATCCTTTTTTATAGATGTTCATAAACTCTGTATATTTTATTATTTGTGAACTTAAAATAGTAAAATTTTTATTTTTTTATTTATACGGAATATAATTTTGTAAATAAATTAAATTACGAGTAAAAAACATGGGAGTACTGGTAGTTGGTATATACGTACTTATCTGCCAGGCCATAATGTTCCTTGCAATTTGGCTTGCAAGTGGGCAACAAAATCTTTTTTCTGCTTTTTATCTTTTGCTAATTTTCTTTGTTTAGTTAAATTCAGTTCAAAGCCCTCGTTTTTATATGGTACTCCGTAAGTATTGAAATACGAAATAAATTTTATACTCGGGTATGATATTAAACATAACACAAAATTGCCATTTATGCATTTTCTCAAGTGAATATAATGATTTTAAAAAATTAAAAACCAAAAATTTAAATACAAAAATGGCAACTTTGTGTAATTTATATCCAAGTTATTAGTGACTCTAGCATTACTATTGTATGAACACAATGGTTTTACATATTTTTTGTAATAAAATCATTATTTTTCTAGTGCATATTTACTTTTAAAAACATCCTACCTCCGGTCTCGTTGTGTTTATCTAGTTTAAATTTTTGCATTCAAAATTGTGAAATTTGACCACAATTAATTTAAATTTAATTACGAAGTACTACGTATTATATATTAGAACTCCGTATTTTTTTATTAAATTTATCTTATAAAATATTTGGGTTTGAATCGGACTCAATTCGGGTTGGTTAAAATTGTAAACCAACACCCGACCCGATCCGATGTCGGGTTCAAGCAAAAATTCGGATCATGTTCGAATTATTTTATCCTCGGTTAGGGTTCAGATATTTTAGTTTTTGGTCAGGTCGGTTAAGATCGGGTTCGGGTTGAATTCTCATCCCTAGTTTTATCTTAGTATTAAATATGGAGTACTACATACTCCGTAATTTTATTTTATTGTAGATTAAAGTTTGGTTCAACTCCAAACAATTTTACTTTTTCATAAACTCTATGAAAAAAAACAAAAACTTTTATTTTGAACAAAGGGAGTATGTGCCATTTATATTTTGACTTTACTGAGTTTATCATTCATTTACGCTTTAGAGGATATTTTGGATATTCTACCATGCTTTGTTCACAAATTACATCTAGAGAAGTAAAAAAATATTGAAGTACAGACAAAAAAGTGAACACATGTTGGAGGGAGGAGCACAGGGAACAAATCAAAAGCTTAGTCAAATCACAAGTTCACAACCAAACTAACACATAAAAGAACAAATAAATTGCCTTACTACACATAGAAGAACAAATAATTTGCCTCTCAACAAACTAAAACTCCTTGTACCTCCGTATAATGGTTGACCGGAATGTCAACCGAATTCGGGGTAGGGTAGGGGTGGGGGGGATTTTGGGGGGGGGGAGGAATCATCTCGGGATCAAACCAAGAATCTATAAGCAAGACAAGAAAGACTACAAAATGTGCCCCTTTTATAAGGCATTTTAATTTCTTCAACAGTTTGATCCTTCAAGTTGACAAGAAATAACATGCATGAAACCCAATCTACTAACAACTCTTCATGAGAAAAATCCCTAGGATTAGACTACTAGTTTTGCTTCCATCATGCAAATTAACGACGGGAATCCATAAAAAAACATATAATAATGATTACCAAGCCATATTAGGATTTAATAGTGGTACCGTGCTCAAAAGATCATACACCGGATGCTTTGGCAGAAGCATCATCTTCGTCTTCCTCGTCACCTTCAAGGTTCTTCTTAATTTCAATGCGTGGTGGAGCATTGCTAACCCCAGTAACTGATTGTTGGTAAAGAACACCACCAGCAATGGTAAAAAGCAAACACAGCAGCCCGAATGGACTCGCATGTTTATCCCAGATGACGACATTAATAGCGACTGTAAGAAACTTATTTACCACGCCAGTCACTGTAAAAGCAGTGGCAGATATTGCCTTCCTCGCAGCGAATCCGAAGAAACTAATTAGCAAGCCAAACATGCAAGAGAGCAAAACTGCAAAGAACGCGACAGGGTTGAATAGGTTCCCCAGACCAGATCCTATAGAGGCAAACACGTCTGCATACTCCCCCGTAATGATCAAAAACAGGGGAGCCATCATCAGCGAGAGCAAGTTGTTATACAGCACGAATCCCCAAGTGTTCAGCCCAAGATTGGTAACCATGTGTTTGATGTAAACCATTTCGGTAGTAATGGTGACCAGATAAGCACATGCCCAGGAATATGCGGTCAGGGTGAAGCCCGAATCGGTCGCAACATATCCGACCGCTCCTCCCAAGATAATGACCAGTGACAGAAACGTGAGCTTGGACGGGCACGGTTGCTTCCGGAAAGCCGTATCCGCGAGGGCGACCAGAAGAGGGGTGCACGATCTGAACACTATGAATGTGTCCACATTGGCATGCCTCAAAAGGTTTGTGTTTGTGAAAATCGCCAAGAAAAAAACAAAGGCAGCAGGCAAGAATTTCTTGGCAGTTTCCCAGTTAAATGCATCGTGGTGCAACAACCCTAGCTTCCCCAAACCCCAAACGCCAAAAGCTGAAGTGAAGTACTGCAATGCAGTGAGGAGCCCTGGGTAGTTAAAGTGGGTTATTGCAAACTTGTTGATCACTGCAAGCAAGCTAGAACATAAGGCATAGCCAACCACAAGACTGCTTGTGGCATACTTTTGTTTTGGGCCTTCGATTCGAGTTGCCATTTTTGCAACTACGGTAGCTTGGGAACTATTTCGCTTCCTTAAATTACCTATTTTCTCTACAATTCCACACGCTCGATCTGATTTGATATGTCTAAACCAGCCTGTTTTCAATGAAACTAGCAATCATGGAATTCACCAATCTACCAGAGCAATCCAGCAATTTGTAAACCACAAAACCTGCAAATAAGCAAGCTGAACCAAAGTAAACAACTTAGATTGTTAAAATATCTACCAAACCTTAATTAAAATATTTTAAATGAATATGAATTATTACTAGGCATTTTCTTAGGTTAAAGATAAACTGCTTCACATATTTCCTGATTGAACTATTTTTAAATTTTAATCCCTCCACAACATTCATCATGTCGGCTTACCAAATGCACAAGCACTTCCTGCGGATCATTCCTCATAATCCAAGTTAGCTAGCTATACTAATCATTAATGGGGTTTCCATTTTTTTCTTTATAAAATGTTCCTAGAAGAAAAAAAAATTAAGAACAGTCATTTTCCATGATGAGATGTTAAGCAAAAAGAAGAAACAAATACAGAATTGAGCTTTAACCACAACGAACCCACATCCGCACATATTGTTGGCTCAATTATACTAAAGTATACACATATGTTCATATATTGCAGGAAAGCACAACAATAACATTCTTCAACACTATTCAAACTAGAAAAGCGAGAAGGAAAATAAACATGTTAATACAATATGGAGTATTAAAGAGAAAAATACCAAAATGTGTATGTCATATGACTATAGGAACATACATCTGATTCTAAATTAAATCATGAAAAATAAGTACCATCACCTAGTAAGCGATTTGTTTTATTATAGTAACAAATTTCATAATGTTACTATTCTTTTACTCAGAATACTTACTATTTACAGGATCAAATTGAAGTTTTTTCCCCACTTATTTATCTAATCATATAAATTTTGATGTAGTTTGTAAAGATGCATACATATCACTTGCCTTAAAAGAAGTGCCGAAACGAAATGAAGCAAGGACTTCAATATAAATGATGTGGAGTGCTAGATAAATCTTTATGGACTAAACATACACAACTAAACAATAATTCAACTCACGATTTCTATTTCACAGCAAAATAATACCAATATTGTATCCGGAGTGTTATCTGTACTAGAAAAAATTAATTTACATTTTAAACATAGTTCACAATTAATTAAACAAAGAAACTGAAAGATTTAGTGTAATGAAGAAATTAGTTTTAAATGACTTCTAGCACCATTGATATTACTCATCAGCAAAAAATGTCCATAAATTTTTCAAATTTGGTCTGCTAAGAGACTCAAAATGGATTATTGAGCGGGAGTGAGAGAAATTGATTGATAATTGATAGCAACAAGAGCGCCTAATTGTCTAAAAGTCTAAACAATTAAAACAAACACAGGGTATTTACCTCGAGAAAACAAATCCATTGAAGAAAATGAATGAGGTAGAGGAATGGATTATTTACATTAGATGAAATGGAGGGGGGCAGGCGGAGCTGCGGTGATTTACCTTGACATGCTAACCCGGTCGGCAGTGACGGCGGCGACGGCGGCGTCTGGGGGACAGTGGAGTTCGGCCTTGGCTTCTTTCTTCCTGAGACTCTGACCGCCTGCGTGTTTTGACTGGCCCGTCTGGAATCTGGATGGTGGTAGTTCGGGATTAGGTTGGAAAGAATTTACTCCGTCTTAATTTACAGAGTACGGAGTAAATTTTTTTTTTTTTTTGTAAAAGAGAAAACTTCTTGCACTGCTGCACATCCGGAAAAAAATATTCCCTCCTTTTCTAAACAAATTACGAGTACATTTTAGGTAAAACAAAAAAAATCTTAAATTTTTTAATTTATTTTATTTAAAAATTGGTGTAGATTTAAAATATAAATTTTACATATTTAAAATATACATCAAAAATTATATTCCTTCCATTTATAAAAAACTTTTCACTTTCCGTTTTGATCCGTCCAAAAATAAACTTTTTATTTACTTTTTTGGAAAATTTTTTTATTAAAAAATCATTTATACTCTTTGGCCTAAGTTTTTATATAGACCTGTGCAAATAAGGATCCGGGTCGGATCTAGGCCGGGCTTGATATAAATTATTAGCCCATTTACATGGGCGGGCCTGGCCCGGCCCAGATTTGATGGGCTAAATTCTTTACCCATACCCGCCATCTTTGTGGGCCGGATTGCCCACCGGGCCGCCCGGCCCGGATAAAACATCAAGAAATTTTTTTTTGTACAAAAAATTTTAAAAAAACATTGAACTCTTTTTTAATGTTTAAAATAAAATAACCAGTCACCACATTTATATAGAAAGCATAATAGAGATATTGTTGCATAATTAATAAACCCATCATACTGATTCATTAAAAGAGTTGATTTTTTTAAAAGAGATGAGACCATTTCTCGATTTGTGCGTGTCATCCTTGCGCAGGGGCCATGCTAATCTTCTCTGTATCGTTCCAATTTTATCGGATGTCCCCGAAGGGACAAAAAAAGAGATGAGTGAATTAAACTATTATACATGAATTATAGAATATTTTAAAATTTATATTGGCTAGGTAATTAATAATAAAGTAAATATATTTGATAAATATGGGCGGGCCTGTTGGCCCAGATGGGCTAAAAGTAACTTCCAGATCCGCCCATATACAATTCTGGCTTGGGCCGGCCCGCCCATTTGGGTATTAAAGGTTGTCCATATCTGCCCTTTTTAAAGGCCGGGCTAGGCGGGCCGAACGGGCCGACCCTTGTTTGCACAGGTCTATTTTTATAGTACCTTCTATTTTGCAATAACAACTATGGGTTACCTCTAGTTTTTACTACGGAGTACTTTAAAATATTTAAAAATTTGATCTTAATCTTAATCTTGCAATAGCGGTGAAGGTGCAAGGACCATGCTAATTGCTAAACTTAAGTGCACTTAATCTTAAGCTTTTTATAGTACTTTAAATTTTGTAACAACGGTGAATATGTCATAGATTCATAGTTTTTGATAAAAAAAAGTGAAACGACAATCTTAATCTTTGAATTGTTTAAAGGACCAACTTACACCAAAACATGTATTTCAAAATCACACTAAAAGTATACATAAACATTTTTATTGTTTATATTAACACTAAATACTCGTATTTTAATAAATTTGTACTAACATTTTGTATCCCAATTATTGATAGAAGATACAAATCTTAGCATAGAAGCTTAATCAGTTTGAAAAAGTTGGAGCGGTATGGAGGCTGAAAGTGTATGCTCCGTAATTTGGGAACGATTGACGAATTTCTGTCTGTGAAGTCAACAACTCCATCAATGGATTCCTCTCCTGCAAAAATCACGCTTCTTTCATCCTTCTCCTCCGATGCCAATTTCTCCCCGAGCCTATATAAAATCCCGCCACCGCCATATCTTATCTCAGCTCAAATCTCTTTTCGATTTTCTCATCCGTTTCCTATCAGCTTTGAATCCAATGGCGGAGAGTCGCAACAGTTCAAACTCCTCGGAGGGTCCCCCGCCGTTCGATCCCTCAGTCCCATCTATTCCCGTTTCCTACCCGCTGAAAACCCTAGAAGAGCTCGAGTCCAGATCTTACTTCGATTCCTTCCACTTCCTGTTTAACAAGGCCTCCGTCAAGCTGCCCGCGGCTGTTGCCGGCATGCTGCCGAAACGGCCCCGGCTTCTGGTCTGCCACGACATGGCGGGAGGGTACGGCGATGATCAGTGGGTGCAGGGCGGTACTAATCCCAGCGCGTATGGTATATGGCATTGGTATTTGATGGATGTGTTTGTTTACTTCTCGCACAGTTTGGTTACTCTGCCTCCTCCTTGCTGGACCAACACTGCTCACAAGCATGGCGTTAAGGTATGAGCAAAAGCTTCTTCATCTCAATTGCATTTGAGAATTGAGAGATTTCTTCATGTTTGCTAAATATGAATGATTGAATTGATATCTCCTCGCATTTTGAGTTTCTGCATAGGCATATCCATCACTAGTTCGCTCCATCCCAAAAGAAAAGAAATTTATTCTTCCATATAAATTTTGTTTCAAAAATTACACAGTAAAAGAAAATCCATCAAATTTGGGTGGTAGAATTTGCATCTGGATCTAATTCTTATTTTATTTGGTAATTGTCATTTCAAATAAGGTTCTAGGGACTTTTATAATGGAGTGGGAAGAAGGGAAAAGTCTTGCAAACAAACTACTGTCAACAAAGGAATCAGCGTACATGTATGCCGAGAGACTAACTGAGCTTGCTGTTGCTCTAGGCTTTGATGGCTGGCTGGTATGCTTTGGGTGCCAATTGAAATATTCTCTTACCTTCTGGCTTCTGACCCTTGATCTATTTTAAAATTTAAATTCATTTCACAGTTTCAATTCTAGTTATGTAGCACCCATGTTATTTCATATTGTTAAATTATTTCGCCTAAAAATTTACCAAACATATAGCTGTGGTAAGAGATGAATTTCCTACATTTATTGTCCAGTCTTTAAGGTTAATACTCTCATTCTCCAGATCCTATATGCTGTTGGATTTATTTAAATTTAACATAGAATATTAAATTTGGATGTATGGATCTCAAAATGCAGTACTTTTATTCCCACTAAAATAATAATATGGACTCTATGCCTTTTGAACAAAGGGATATGTTGTCATGCTTGTATTTTCTGTAGAACTCTTTGTAGATATCTACTGTGGTCAGGTCAACTAGTGTGTGTTTTTTTACTGCCAGATTAACTTGGAAGTTGATCTGGATGTTGGAAAACTCCCTACATTGGTAGAATTCGTCAACCATTTGACCCAAACCATGCACTCCTCGGTGCCTGGATCTCTAGTAATATGGCAAGTATAAGCATGTGGTTCAATTATTATAATTACTATTATTTTTCCTTTGCTGGGAAACATTATGTAATCATTGCTTATACATTATGGCTGGGGTCTCTTGGAAATTGCCTCTCTACTTTTCAGTAGGGGTAAGGTCTGCTGTACACACCCTCCCAAGACCCTACTTTTTTGGGATTCTACCGAGTTGTTGTTTTTGTTGCTGCTTATGCGTTACAGACTTGCAGTGATGTTGCAGGTATGATAGTGTTACAACAGATGGTGAACTTAGCTGGCAAAATAAGCTTAATGAAAAAAACAAGCCTTTTTTTGATGCATGTGATGGGATATTTTTGAACTATTCATGGGAGGTATTCTTTTACATGTCTTCTTATAATCTCAGGTTTAGCAGTAATTGTATTGGTTTCTTGTTTACTCTTTTCTCCAATTTTTCCCAGGAAAGTTACCCTATGGAATCGGCTTCTGTTGCTGGGGAAAGAAAATTTGATGTCTACATGGGAATTGATGTCTTTGGAAGAAATACATTTGGCGGTGGACAATGGAATGTATGTTTGTGCACTGTTTTGTTACTTTTACATTGTCTCTTGGGTTCCTTTTGGGCCCTGGAAAATACTAGGGGGGAGAGGAGGGAAGTATGCAGGAATTTAGAAGGATTTTTTTTTGGGGGGGGGGGGTAGGGGTAGAGGGTGGGAGTGTGCGTGTGATTGGCTAACACAATATATTTATTGCATTTATGTGCTGACACTCTTTTTATTTATGTTTGTTATTTAAAAATTTAATTTATATAATTTTTTTTAAAAAACCAATCATATTTTGTTTTCCTTTGTGGCTTTGCATTTCAGGGTGAAACCATAAATAAGAAAATAAATTTACATAGCATATTTTTTTGTTTGTCTCCATAATTTCTGTGATCCAAACTTAGCCTTAGTGATCATTTATAAATTCATAGCATTGTTGACGTTGGAATTGAATAAACATTTGTGCAGACTAATGTAGCCCTTGATGTGATTAAGAAAGACAATGTTTCAGCAGCCATATTTGCTCCTGGATGGGTTTATGAGACTAATCAGCCACCTGATTTTCAGACTTCCCAAAATCGGTAATACTCTTTTTTTTTGGATTATTTTACCTATTTTTTGTCATTTTTTTCTTTGTACAACATTTTTTAGCTTCTTTTACTGAATTTTTGTTTGTCTCGAACAATTAATGGTTTCTGCAATTGTATGCTCATCTGCAGTTGGTGGGGACTTGTTGAGAAATCTTGGGGCATCTCACAGAATTATCCCCAAACACTTCCATTCTACTCAAATTTTGATCGGGTACAGTCTGAGTGTATGGGGTACTTTTATTTAATAAAGTATACCCGGAGTACAATATTTTATCAAATCACGCTTTAATTCCAGGTGGAGCATTTGATATGATATTTTTTATTAGGGCCATGGTTACCATATTTTTGTTGATGGGGTGAAAATACTGGATGCTCCTTGGAACAACATCTCTCTACAAAGCTTACAAGTATGGTTGCTATTTTAAAGAGTTCTTCGTTTTTTTAGTCCCTTGCTATTCACTTAAGAATATTCATACTTTTCCATTGTTAGCTTCATATTCAATACTCCACGTCTCCACAGAAATGAAAAAATGGAACAAAACAGTGCAATAGCAAGAGTAATTATATAAACATTTCTATTTTTAATTCACTAGTTACTCTCATGATGATTAAACTCACTAGTCATTGTCATGTCTCTATCTTTCAGTCACTACAGTTTGGCTGAAATTGCTTTCAAAAAGCATCTGCCACGTGACAGTTATTTGAATGGAAAATATAGGGTGTCATGGCGTCCCAATAAACTGTCCCCGTGCGAAGTTACATTTTTCTGACAATAGATGGGACTACAATTCCATGCTTGTGTGGCAAAATTTTCAGAATTGTGATTCCAATTGGCCCACTTTTGGAGATGCTCTAAGATGATCATAGCTCTAAGCCTCCAACATAGTTGGGAATTTAATGTCCCTAGCTTCAACTTAGTTGTGATTAAATCATAACCTAATTGGCTTTATCTTTGATAAATTTATATCAGCCATTCCTTGCTTCGGGAGAACATACAACCAGCAATATTCAAGCTTTTGTTGAGTAAGTTTAATAACTAGATATTGTTTCTTCTACTGCTTCAATTCCAATATACAGACCGATATATACTCTCCATTTCGTACACAAGACTTAACAGAGCATATAAGTACTTGAATTTTGTAGTTTCAAGGGAGAATCTTACAGCGGTGGAGGGAACATCACATTCGGAGGAACCCTTGATGACAATGCTCCTTTGAAAACAAAATTTTTTGAAGCAAAGCTTCTTTTTGGAGAGTCGCCACTAAACTTAACATATTCAGTAAGCTATTACGATCCATATAATATGATGAATCACGGGATTAGTGCACCTGGGTAGACTTCTAGCCAGTAATTTGTAGTCTATGATGGTTTTTTGCCTCTTTCTGTTGTTTGTGTATGTCTGCTTTCTGTGCTTCAAGTCTTGTTGCTAGTGTCAGTACTTATCTGTCTTGTGTTCGTGCTCTTGCTTAGTCGCTTAGCTTATGCTTATGTATTTTCGTCATCCCTACGTTCATGGGATTCTACCGGGTTGTTTGTTGTTTTACTGGTTATGAGAATGTTTGAGGTTTGTTTGTTAATGTTTGATGTTTTACTATAACCTTTTGCTCATCCCTGAATTGATACAGGTAAAATCTAGCGGAGGGTCTCTATTAGGACTTACCCTTCTCTTCTCTAACGACTCCAAGAAGAAAAAGTCCATATTGTTGGCACCGGGGTCCAGCCCCTCATTGCTTACGCACAACCATTTAGCAGCACATTTTGACACCATCATTATGCCACATCGCGTTGAAAAGACAGGACCTGAACTGGGATGGGATGTTCTAGAAAGTTCCATAGCAATGGATGGATACACACTAACTGAAATCGGCGCTATATGCTATAAGCTAGAGAAAGCAATTTCTGGGTCATCAGAATACAATGCAGTTCTTGGTCATATTTCAATTAGAACTCCAGAAACAACCCCTTCTTCAAGATCCCCACCAAAAGCAAATTCATGGGTCATTGAGAGTAGACATATCAAATGGTCATCTGGTTCACAAGGAACCAGGAAACTTAACATGATGCTTGCATGGAAGCTGCTGGAACACACAAGTGTTACTGATCTGTGTTTGGAGTATAAAGTATATGTCAAGAAAATGACCAAATCATCGGACGAGGAAGAAGAACAAGTCTACCTTGGGGCTGCAATGGTGGAGGCATTTTATGTTTCTAATCTGCAAGTTCCAGATGGCGTGTCTGCTCTTGAATTCATCGTCCAAGTCAGCATGGACGGAATCTCTCAGAAGCTCGAAGATTCTCCGTCCTTTAAGATGGACGTTCAAGATTCTTAATAGATTCTCCTCAACCCCCCCCCCACCCCCCGCCCCCCACAAAAAAAAATTACAAGGAATTATTGCAGTAAAATACAAGGAAATGGTTGAATGTACTATGTCAACTCATGTTAAAAGGTGGCCTGTGCTATTATGTAGTGTGTATAATAACACCTTTGGAGTGTTTCCACGTGAGTATAAAATGATTGAAATTGCTTATAAGTTGTTTTTAGTTTTTTACTCATATCTTTTTTTAGAGGAAATGTTTATTATCTTGATATACTTTCTTTTATGAAAAAGTTCTATATGAAAAGATTTATACAAAAATGACTTGAACAGTAAATGGAGAAAAGAAGTTGGGCTGGGAACACCACATTTGGCACTATCTTGTGTGGTGATGTTTGTGATAAAGATAATCTCAAAAATAAGAGTAAAATTCTCAAAATGGTATTCAACAATTATGTATTTTTTTAAATCAGTCTCTAAAATTAATTAATTCTCAAGATGATACTCGTTAATTAAAAATAATGCGCAGTTCCGTCTCTCGACTAACAGTCATTAAAACGGCGTTATAACGACGTTAAACTTTATATTACTTTTCCATAATGGTACTTTCTAACTCGGTGTTTCTCAAATGAGTCTATTTTCGAAATAAAAATACATTAATTATAGAAAAATATTTTAAATTTTATAGAAGGACAATATACTCTGTATTACTTAAAACTATAAATATTATTTTATAAATTAAAAATTAAATGTTTTTGATTCTTTATAATTATTTAGAAGAATAACATGTAAATAAAATATTTAGTAATTAATAAAGAAATCACCATAGATAGGAGTAAAACATATAGAAAGTATCAAAATAGGATCTCTTTCTCAATGTTTTACTTCTAGAGTTTTTTCTTCAACGTTTATTAAATATTTTGTTTATATGATATTTTTTTAAATAATTATAAATAATCTAAAACATCACTTTCAAATTTATAAAACTATATTTATAGTTTTTAGTATTATATTATCATCCTATAAAATTTAAAATATTTTTTCATAACTAATGTATTTTTATCACAAAAATGGATCAATTTGAGAAAACACTCAGTTAGAAAGTATCATTTTGGGAAAGTAGTATAAGATTTAATGTATTTTTAACATTGTTTTAACGGCTGTTAGTTGAGGGAACAGAACTAAGCATTATTCTCACTTATCGAGTATCATCTCAAAAATTAGTTAGTTTTGACGACTAATTTAAAAAACACATAGTTAGTGAGTACCATTCTAAAAATTTACTCCACAAATAATGTAGAAATAACCTTTTTTTTAACATAAAGACTATAGTAGTAATCTAATTTGACTTTTATGTAGGCTAGATGAGTTTTTATTTTTAATTAAATAAAAATAGAAATATACATTAATACACAAATAATTTTATTGAACCTATATTTTAAATTATTTCATTTATTCATTAGCAATATAATTTTTATTATCAAAATTACTAATGTATTTTGTAATTTTCATGAGTGATTCTATGGTGGACCTAAAGTCCACATAGACCTTCTTGTATATTTTAATTTTTTAAATAATTATTTCAACAATTGAAAATACTTATTTAAAATAATTCATTGATTTTACATAATCCAAATACTTTAAATAATCTATCAAAATCTTTTAAAATCTGAATTGAATACACCTTTCTTAAATATTGATAAAAAGTTACTTTCTCCATTCAAAAATATTTTTCTTATTTACCTTTTTTTGTCAAAGTTTATAAATTTTGAGTTGGATATATGAAAAAAAGCATTAAATTATGATACCCCAGAGTATAATTTAAATCAATATATTTCAAATATCAAATTTTTATAAAATATACTTACGTATAAATATAAATTTTAATTGTCAAAATATAATATTAAAAACCGTAAAAAATCAAACGAGAAAGAATATGTTCGGAGAGAGGAAATAAATATTAATGAGTGGATAAAGAATGTAGAGTGAGAAATGATAGTCTAGAAAATGAGGTCTAGCATTACTCTCTTCAGTCCTCACTAACCTTCCTCGTTCCTTGTTCAAGGATCAAGACCCATTCACGCCGGTGCCCCTCCAGCAGCCCTGTAGTTTCTGGTTCGTCTGAGCAGTTCCAAGTGTCTTCTCCCATTCTCTTACAGTAAGTAACAGCTTGTCTTCCCCAATTTTATAGACCGATCTGAAGCTTTTATTGTCGTCATGCTCTTTTGTTCATCTTCTATTCTTCTTCTACTGCTAATCTGGATTGAATGTTGCTGTTATCGGAAAATCTGCTCTTATGAACTTATTTTCAGTTAATTTAAGATTACAACAAAACTTTTGTATAATTGTATTGGGAAACTCATTAGCCGGATGAAATTGTGTAGGGCAAAGGGTTTAGACTGGATGTTTTATGAGTGGAAGATACATTCCCTTTGAAGGCTTGAATTTATGTATATTGAATGTTTCCTGAATGTTTGTGTTATTGCCCAAGAGAAGTAGAAATAACTAGGGAGTATCATTGCTTTTGTTTCCAGTACTATTTCCACATTCCCCCTAGATGCCTTATATTTGATTGTTTTTTGCACAGGTCAAAAATCACCTCAAGGATGTTTGTCGAGTGCATTGCGTGGGTTTTGGCTGGTTTGCATCTTTTGTGTTCCCGCCGAAGTAAAAACAAAGGGCTTGTCCACTTCCCAGACGAGATCTTAGTAGATGTTTTGAGCAGGCTTCCTGCCGATGCTATTCAACAGTGTCGCAGAGTGTGTAGACATTGGAGGACTCTGACTTCATCGACTTATTTCAACACGCTGCAAAGCCAAAGAGCTTCCTCTGTTCTTGTGCAAGGTACACACTGTGAACTTCCCTTACAAAAAACGATTATTTTGTATATGATGCACTTGCCAAAAACTTGATGAAGACTTTGTCATTTAAGCATGTGGTACTTGTGTTTTAGATGGAGTATTGAATTTTCTACACTTTGCCTCAACCAGAACTGGAATGTCATGATACAAGACTTTGTTATCTAAGCATGTATTGTTTTTTTGTTCATGATGGCCATTTCTGTCTTTGTCATGCATCCCAGCATGTACTGGGACTACCGGACTTCCTGGACTCTGGACACGTCGGTCTTGGAGAAATATGCCAACTGGTATTGGGTCCAACTGTCTAGGATTGGTCTCCCGATTCCTGTAGGGGACAATTAGGGTGTTCCATGATTTTGTGATCCTTAGGGTTCAAAAGGACGAGTTGTTCGCATCTTGGTTTTTATGTTTATTTCTTGTCAACTTGAAGGACCAGACAGTTTGTTGGTTAATTCCAGTCCAGAATATAGTTTAAATTTAAAAATAAATAAGTAAAAAAAAAGGCAGACAGTCAGGAAGTTAGGCAGTTACTAGTTACAGTTTTATGACAGTTTCCAACAGATGTGTTGGTTAGAAACTGTTGTGTCTATTTGTAATGGTTGTGTTGTTTAGTCCTCTATTTATATGTATGGACACATTGTTCTGGACAGCAGTTCCACAATAATAAAATACTCTGATTTTCTCTCAATCTCCAGATCTGTCTTTCTGTCATTATTTCTGTCACAGTTGATAAACATAAAATGCCATATAATAGGGTCATAATTTACTCTCTTTTGCGACTCCACGACTTGGTTAAAAAGGAAGGGAAACCTCAATCCTATAGTCTCTAATAAGTGTGCCATACTGCCATAGAGTCAGAGTCTCATTCTTTGAATTGTGCAATGGGTTTTTAGTAGTAATTTATCTGTTCTTTTATGCACTAGTCTCTATTTGTTTCTTTTTGGCAGCTGATAAGGCCGCGCTTTAGAGGTCCATTTCCATATACGAAAAGGAAGCACATGAGTTGAAGAAGGAGCACGCCGATCTGGTGGCACTGGCCAACAATGGGATAAGTGGACTGAGACGGGCTGTGACCCAGATGCTAGTCGTAATGATGGGACTGGCCATAAATTACAAGTTTGGAGAAACGGTTGTTGAAAAGGGGACACTGGTTTTCCGGCTCTTGTTTGTTCTTGCAGCGTGCTTACTTCTGGGCTTGGCATCTTTCTTGATCAGGTTCATGGACATTGGGGGTGACCTCAAATATGTTCTGAACAGAAAGGAAACCGTGAGAGAAGCATTCACCAGATGGCTACACGGTTTGGGGACTGATCAGGCAGCTGTTTTGGGTCTGCGTGCCATGCGCCTTGAACAAGCCCTCAATGGAATTGGAGACTTCAGGAGGGGGTATTACCTTCAAGCTCTCTTTACTTCCCTCGTGGCGTTGTTTCCGGTTTTGATGATTATGTTCCTTTAGGATCCTGCCCACGCCGGCTTAGGAGTCTAATCATGCATCTAATCTACCAAGCTAGCTAGTTTAACAATCTAATCTAGTCACAATGGTCTCTCTCCCACCAGAGTATTATTTACATATTAATTTTTGTTGCGACATATAAATTATATTACTTTGGTGGCCTTGTTGAGGACTGACGCTTTAATCTCCGAAATATAATTGTAATGGATTGTGATCAGTCAACCGTTGGCAGTCTGTGAACCATCGGTCAACGTTGAATCGTTGATGACCACTTGGGTGAATGGCAGAGGTGATACAAAGGCAAATGTAGGGCTGTAAACGGATTTTAATCGGATCGGATGTGCCATTACCAAATCCGTATCCGTTTATTTTTGTCGGATATCGAATTCGGATACGGATCTTGACGGATATTGAAAAATCAAAATCGTATCTGCATCCGTCGGATATCGGTCAGATATCGGATATATCCGTATCCGTTTCCAATTTTTAAAACTAAATTAAACAATACTTGAATTTTCAATTAAACTAAATTAAAATATTATTAAATCAACTATAATATTTTATGGGATATTTATTTTCTTATTTTTTATAGTTTATGATATTCTATTTAGTTTTGTAAATCTTTTGATGTAATTTTTAATTATATACTCCGTAATTTTTATCTTTAATGTTATGTCATTTTCCATATAATATGATTTGAAAATAATTTCTGTCGAATATCGTAAATTGAAATAGACAATTTAAATTGGGACGGAGTGAGTAAGAAAGTACCCAAAATAGGATTTCC